TATCATCCGTATACTGCAGCATATAAGCAGAGTTTCTAGGTACTATGGGCATCATATCATGTACGACAATATTAAACAAAGTTGGAGAAAGCGAAGAACCCTGCGGCACTCCTTGTTTTAGATAAAACACATTGGAGGTTGTTTCATTTACCTTGACACTGTTACGGTTGTATTTTTCCTTAATGCTTCATTTGTGTGTTTAACCTTTACTTTCCCAATTCTTTGTTTTAATTTTATTTTGGGTTAGATGTTTTATTTTGTTATCGAGTATTTTGAGTGGCATAAATTGCGCGATGATTTATTTTGTTTACTTTTTGTTTATTTTGTTGAATTTTTGTTTAATTAATTTTTCTTTTTCAGCGACAATTCTCCGAAGATCTCCTTTCATAATTTTCCTTTTTCCTTTTCAATTTATTTTCCTCTAAACTTATTTTACTTCTTCGTTTCCCCTAAAAGATGGTGTTAATTCTTTCGTTATTCTTGCTTGTGCGCAAGTATCAATTTTTTGTGAATTTTTGAGGATATTTATCGTCTGTGTAAGATTTTCTCTTCCTCTTTTCAAGTCAGATCAGTACGTGTACGCACGTAGAGTTAGGATTTTTGGTAAAGCCATTTTGAATTTTTCGCGTGGTGATTGGTTCCTAATCCAAATTTTTGGGATTCATCTACGTGTTGTGCAATTTATTGGTAACGTTTTTGCACGTCCAATTTTCGGTTTGTTCCGGATTAAACCGTATTTTGCAACTTTTCTAAGTTTTTCTGACTAATCCTCGAAGATCTGAGGTAAGATATTTTTATTAATTGAAATATATTTTTATATTTTCCCTTACACTTTCATACCTTCATTTATTCAAACATACAACCTTTTACCACCAAATAATCATCATTATAATAATATTAACATTATCATAATTAAACTATTATCATCATTTTTTTTATATCTTATTTTTCTATCCTTTCTACTCTTTTATATATTTTTTTCTCTAATTTCCTCGTGTTCATTTAAGGTTTTAATTGAAGAGCATAAATTTTGACAACCTATCTGTAACATTTTCGAAACAGAAGTTTGGTTATTTTGTGAGATTTTTAATCCATTTTCGAAGTTCTACCTTTTCGGAGGGGTTCTTCCTTGAGGATTTTGGTCGAAGTTGCATTGCTAAACTAAGTCAAGTCAAGTCAAGTCAAGACAAGGTCCGATCTAAACGTTGTTTTTTTTGTACACCGCTTACCGGTGAACTTTTATTCATTTAATTATTACAATCGAAATTAATCAGGGGTAATCTTTTCTTTCTCGGCGCCATACTGATATCAGGGGTACGCGCAATTCAATTCAAATTTATATTTTTTTTTGCGTACTTGTTTTGGTCATTTATTTCAATATTTTTTTTTGGTACGCCAATGATTCTTTTCTTTTTTCGTGTTGCTTCATGCTTGCTGAACAACAACATTGTTACTTATATCACAATAATATTTTTTACTTACCTTATTATTTTTTTTTTTTTACTTATTAAAGTTTTGTATAAAAATTCGTTTCCGCGATAAAAAATGTTTTAGAATGAGTACCAACACGATAGGGTCATCTAACTGTGCTATTTAGTACTGTCATTAAAACTAACACAGGACCTAGAACTAGAATCATTCGGGTTTAGCCGTCTTGAGAGACGTGCGGCTAAATCCGAATGATTCTAGTTCTATGTCTTTTATTAGTTCTACTGCTAATATAAAACTAGAACTAGTATAAAGCTATATTACTATGTTGCATATTTTTATTGCACTAAAACTAGAACTAACACTAGACCGATTACTGAAAACATTCTGGTTTAGCCTTAAGTCTCTCAAGACGAAAATATTCCTCCTTCGAATACATTTTTAACATTTTGATGAAGTTTTATTAGATAATTTGAAGTTTTCATAAAGTTTCCTAGATTTTATTATGTTCCGATGAAATTTTCGGGTTAACATTAAACTTCGTGATCAAAACTAAAATTTTATTATAATAAAGTTTTTTTAATTTGATTGAAAGTTCATATTAATGATTCCATAACATCGGTTGTTGTTTCTACATCTGTTGTTGTTTCTATATCAGTTGTAAAATCTGTTGTTGTTTCTATATCAGTTGTAAAATCAGTTGTTATATCAGTTGTTGTTTCTATATCAGTTGTTGTTTCTATATCTGTTGTTGTTTCTACATCAGTTGTTGTTTCTACATCGGTTGTTGTTTCTACATCTGTTGTTGTTTCTATATCTGTTGTTGTTGTTTCTAAAAATTAAAGCTTTTACGTATCTTCATTCATTAAATTTCCTTATTGATGAAGTTTAAAAAAAAATCGTTGATATTATTGAAGTTTTTACGATTTTAATCATCAAATTTTAAAGTTTTGGTGAAACTTCATCAAATAAATACAAATTATTTATTAAAACTTGATGATTAAATGAAGTTTTTTGAATTATTATTAAACTTCTTATAAAAAAATTAAAATTATAACAAGTTAGATGAAGTTGATTTGATTTTATCAAAGTTTTCTTGACGTATAACCCAAAATTGGGATAAATATTGAAGTTTTGAGGTGATTCTTTCGTATTAAATTCAAATTTTTACTAAAACATTAACTTTTTTGATGAAGTTTCATAAAATAACATCGCTATCATTGAAGTTATTAAGATTTCACATTTTTAATTCTCAAATTTTAAAGTTTTGGTGAAGTTTCATCAAATAAATACAAATAATTTATTAAAATTTGAAGATTTGATGAAGTTTCAATAAAATTTTTTGAATCATTATTAGACTTCTTGTAAAAATTAAGTTTTGTTAAAGAATAAGGCTTAAAATTGAAGTTTTGAAGTAGTTTTCTTGTACTAAACTTTCTTATTAACGTTCTGCGGTTAAGTTTCATAAAGTGATGTTGTTATTATTGAAGTTTTTGTGGTTACTACGTTGATTTTCAACTTTTTGAGTTTGAAATGTTCACAATTTCATAAAACTTCATCAAATAAGGGGTTGAAGGGGGTCAATAAGACACTAAGATGGGGTTGAAGGGGGTCAATAGGGCACTAAGATGGGGTTGAAGGGGGTCAATAGGACACTAAGATGGGGTTGAAGGGGCGTCGACCGATCCTTAAGGATGCTACAGGTGGCGCCACCGTCGACCGATCCTTCGATCCTTAAAGTAGATACCCCCTCCCATTATTCCCTCCTATATATATTATATTATATATCGCTACCGTTTTACATTTCAGTCGACGTCTAGCGTTACGATATGTCCCAACGCGATTTGATTGTTGCGATACAAGGTTTATTAAATGCCTTAAGTATAAGCGCGAACAAACCTAAAGTTCCAATTTCGTCGTCGTCGTTAGAGAAGAATAGGGTGTTGTATCGGGTGAAACGTTTCACGCAAGTACTATCTTTTTTCCGCTGAAATTCTATGTACTTTTATGCTAAAAGTCACTAAAATTAAATTGTAATTGTTGGCGGATATTGAGTTCAACCGACCGGTTCAACCCCTGTTCAACCCCTGTTCAACAGCCCTGTTCAACATATGCCGGTTCTGGACCAGAAGTGCTCCCCCGCTCCCCCTGATCCTGCGCATGCGCGCCGGAAGTGACGTCACGACATCCTTAAGGATCATCCTTAAGGATCGGTCGACGGTGGCGCCACCTGTAGCATCCTTATTACTTTATCTGCTATATGTCGATTGTGTAAATCTATGTATTGTGTATAGGCTAAATCATCACGTTTACATGCTCTATCAAGGTCATTAATGCCAGGATCTCCACGTGCTAAGCGTTTCATGAGATTTGTCCCATGTCCACAGAACTGATAGCCGGGTAAATGCAGCTCTCCACCTGTTCGTATCACTAACATGACTAATATAGAAACATACACAATCACAGTTTTATATAGTAATGAAACCCATTACGATATCTACCATTGTTCATATCGTCCTCCTTACTGATTACAAAAAATCCGTATCTATCTCTCCAACACATTGAACACATTTTCTTAAAGACTGAATTTCATATCGGTTGTTACATGATCATTATAAATATGTTTTAAATTTAGATCATCTTGTTTGAAAAGTAACTCTGACATAAATAAAAACTATCTATTGCCTTATGTCGTCCCATACAAAAATAATCATGAATAATTGATTGTTTATCGCATACTACATCATCAAATATAAAAACCGAATCTTCATTCGCTTTGGAAGGATGCATTATGTCAACACTACTGCTATACTCATAATATCCTAAACCTTTTATAGGCTGTAGTAATTTTCTCAAATATTCATATTTGCTTTGATACAATGACTTTGAATACACATACACATTTTTAAAGGATAGTCCATTAGGATCCTGTAATAAGCTAATTATCAGATTTGTTTTACCAGAGTTAGAAGGTCCGGATATTATGCAACGTAGATTATTTGGAAATAAATAACTATGCTTTTTGTTTTGAGGTGATTGATTATTATTATTAAATTGTATTGTTACATCATCAACATTTAATTTGTAAGGTTGTTTTATCACTTTCATGTTTATTGTATAACTAACTCTTATATCAGTTTGATTTTGAATATATAATGTTCTTGTTTTGCAAGAGTTTAGAATTTACTCAGTTAATTAACAATGAAAATGAATTGTTTCGAATAAAATAAAATGTCATTGAATTAGAAAAAAATAGTCTTACTTTTCATTATTTGAAGCACTATCACTGAATTAAACTTTATATGAGGCGATCTGAAGAAGTTACTTGAGAAAAACGAAAAATGAGAAGACGCACTTTTGGATTTTTGACAGATGTGTTTTTTTTTTTTATTGAACGAAAGGTAACTAGATACAAATCTTTTTTTAAGACGAATAAAATTATTTAAATTAAAGAGTGAATTAACATTTTTAACAGTTCGCCCCCCTTGCCTAAATATAGGCAACACAAAAAACATGAGTGAAATTCTTAATTACAAAACAAAATCGATCAATCGAAACGTGCTTATTGGTGCTTATTGAGTATCGCTGTCATCGGTTTCAACTTCCGGTAATAAACAAATTTTTGTTATGGGCCGCGTGAGTGTCGTTGTTGGTGTTCGTAAAGTTACAACTCTTATGCGACCATCAGGACCAGAGTGCATTTCTGTTATTCGCGCAATAGCCCATTTCGAAGGAGGAAGACGTTCATCTTTAATTAAGACTAACCGTCCTAACTGTGGAATATTCTTGGCTTCGAACCACTTACTGGCGTTTTGTATAGATTGGAGGTAATAAACGGACCAATGTTTCCAAAAGCTTTCAATCATTTGTCTTAGATGTTGCCATCTGGAGAGACGAGAGGTTTTGAAATCAAGAAGAGATGGTTCAGGTACAACGGCTAGAGAACTTCCAATCAAAAAGTGACCGGGTGTAAGTACATCGTAATTAAGAGGATCATTGGAAACTGCGCAGAGAGGCCGTGAATTCATAACGGCTTCAATTTGAACTAAGACAGTAACGAATTCTTCATACGTGAGTGTAGTAAAACCAATGATTTTCTTTAAGTGACTTTTAACAATTCTGATATTTCCTTCCCATTTTCCGCCAAAGTGAGGCGCTGAAGGCGGATTAAACTTCCAGTTTGTACCATCGTTGCTTAGAATGTTCGCTAGATGTTTCCATTCATTGGAAGATTTGTTGAAAAGAGCTCGAAGTTCTCTATCGGCTCCGATCAGGTTTGTACCACAATCACTATAGAGGCATTCACATATTCCTCTACGGCCGGTGAATCTTTTGTAGGCGGCAAGAAATCCATCAGTGGTATAATCGGTAACGACGTCCAGGTGAACCGCTGATGTACTTAAACAAATGAAAATGATCAAATAACCCTTATAGAGTTTACCACCTCGTCCTCTCATTGTTCGTAATTGAAATGGTCCTGCATAATCGACGCCAGAGTGTAAAAATGGTCGGGATTGATTCACTCGGGCAGGAGGAAGCTGTCCCATTAGTTGTTGGCTGGTTATAACTTTATGTTTCGCACACACCATACATCTATTGATATAAGAACGAACAGGAACACGACCACCAACCACCCAAAATCGTCGTCGGATTGAAGACAAGGTAAGTTGTGTACCTCCATGAAGTGTAGATTTATGGTGATGATCAATGATGAGACTTGTGATAACTGACAGCTTGGGGATGATAATAGGATGTTTTTCATCATATTCCAAGTTGGCGAATTTGAGACGTCCAGTTATTCGGAGAAACCCATTGCCATCAATGAACGGAGACAGTCGGAAGAGGGAACTTGATTTTGGAATGACTCTTTTTGACGATAATAAGGTAATTTCTTCGGAAAATTGAAGCTGCTGACTCTCTCGAACCCAAAACATTAGAGCATTATTAATTTCGGCAGGAGATAGAACGTCTGAAACATGAGAATAAAGATTATTTCTTTTAAAAATTCTCATACACCACGCGGTGATACGAAGCAGTCTTCTCAGGGAAGAATAGCGATGTTTTAGGTCCCAACCATCATCAGCTTTAGTTGAAATATTTGAACTTTTCAGTCTTCTTTCCAGATCAGTCTCATCAGAAGAATTGAGATGAATTGATGGCCACTCAGAGGGAGATGCGACAAGCCATGAAGGTCCAACCCACCAAAGAGAATTTTCTTGTAATTTGGCCACGGAAACACCTCGAGAAACCAAATCCGCTGGGTTGTCACCACTTGGTACGTGATGCCATTGAACGTTGACCAACTCGTGAATCTCTGTGACTCTATTTCTTACGTAGTCCTTCCATCGAGATGGATGACTTTTAATCCATGCAAGAACCACTGTTGAATCAGTCCACAAGTGCACCGGACAGTCTGAGAGATTTAACACGTTTTGAACACGTTTAATTAAACGAGTAAGCAGAACTGCCGCACATAGTTCGAGACGGGGAATGGTAACGCGTTTTAGAGGCGACACTTTTGATTTTGAAATTAGTAACGAAACGCGCACTTCTTTATTTGTTAAAACGCGAAGATATACGACTGCCCCGTACGCGTCGAAGGAAGCGTCAGAAAACCCGTGAACTTCGATTGATTCAGTTCTATCGGAAGTCCCAAGCCATCTGGGTACATGAATTGTCGGAATTTGATTATAACTTTTTATGAATGTCTGCCACTTTTCTTCCAGATTATTAGGGAGATTCTCATCCCAATCGAGATGTTGCACCCATAGTTGTTGCATAAAAACTTTTGCAATAATTGTCAGTGGAGAAAGCCAACCGAGAGGGTCGAATAAACGAGCAATAAAAGACAGAACTTCACGTTTGGTTGTCGATTTGGACATGTTATAAGAAGCGCGACAAACGAATAAAAACTGATCTTCAATGTTATTCCATAATAAACCCAAGGCGCGTAGTTTATTATCTTCTTCAACTGAATAAGTATGGGCATTAGATAATACATCTAAAGGTAAATGAACAAGAGCATCTTGATGATTTGAAACCCACTTCCTTGCAGTGAAACCAGCTGATTTTAGAATTTTATTGAGCTCGAAGATTATTTCGTGAACTTTGTCTATGCTATTTGCTCCAGAGAAGATATCATCCACATATGTATTCAATTTAAGGATTTCTGAGCCTTGAGGAAGGTTTTCTGAGTTATCATCAGCGAGCTGACGTAAGCATCTAAGAGCTAAATATGGAGCGCTAGAGAGACCATAAGTAACAGTTGAAAGTTGACATACTTGAATTGGCTGTGATGAATTTTCTCTCCAAATAATTTGTTGGAATGGTAAATCATCTTGATGTANGACATATTTTGGTAAAAACCGCGTTGAAATCCACCCAGCCGTTTTCGATATAACGGAGTCTTTCTAAACCGCGATTTTCCGCGAAACTATTTGGAATATCGAAAAAATAAAATATGCCACTCATTAAGAACACATCAGGCTACCATCTGTCCAAATTTCAACGATAGTTTTCGAGAAAAAAAATCGCAAAGTTGACATAGTTGCCGGCACCGTCAAAAAACCGGTACTTTTTTCACTTAACTCGCGATAAAAAGAAAACCGCGGATCCGAAAATTGTCAAATTAACATTTGTTACGTAGAAATGTTCTGTGATTACAACAAACTTTGTCGCAATTTTTTTCATCGGTCGGTTGCAAAGATATCGATCTCTAAAGTGAGGGGCCTTGACTTTTTGCACGGATAGTAGAAGGGTAGGTTGAAAGTACAAACTGGGTCAAAATATGCCCTATTATGAGTTTACAATTAATAAAATAATATTCAATATGAGTATCTTAAACGGCTCGGATAAAGTAGAATTTGATAATTCACTCGTACGGATTCAGTATCATAATCATTTACCATACTCATCAAATTCTTTTAACAATAGCGATAAAATTCGTATTGCAATTCAACAACAGGACGTTTACACGTTACCAAGTCAATATTTTATTTACGTACAAGGGAAACTATTGAAAGATGACGAAACCGTTGATAAAGATTCAAAATTATCAATTAGCGATTAAATGAGCGATTAAATCCGATCGCTCATATGTTTAGTGAAGTACGATTTGAATGTGGAGGGAACGTAATTGACAGAGTAAGAAATCCAGGAATAGCTAGAACATTAAAAACTCTTTGCTCATTAACAAGATCGGAATACTATCATGCCTCTAATACAGGTTTCGAATATCCAAATGTTAAAGTAAATGAAAATACAGGAGATTTTGATTTTTGTGTTCCCTTGAAATATTTTCTTGGTTTCACTGAAGATTATAATAAAATTTTGATAAATCTCCGCCAAGAATTAGTTTTAGTGCGCAGTAATTCAGACAAGAATGTTATCGAAAGTCTTTTACCTAATGTGAAGTTTAATATTAATAAAATAGTATGGAAAGTCCCTCATGTTTCTGTAGCCGATGTTGAACGTTTAAAACTTTTAGAGTACATAGAACAAGGAATTGAATTAGACATGGGCTTTAGATCATTTGATTTACATGAATACCCATCATTACCAAAAAGTAGACAACACACATGGACAATTAAAACATCTACTCAATTAGAAAAGCCCAGATACTTTATATTAGGGTTTCAAATCAATAGAAAAGATAATCCGTTACGTTCTGCATCACAATTTGACCACTGTGATTTAACAGATATGAAAGTGTTTTTAAATAGTGAGAAATATCCCTATGAAGCTTTAAATTTAAATTTTAAGACAGGTCAAATTGCAGTTTTATTGAAGGCACCATCTATCGCTCATCTGGCAAATTTATCTGGTCACTTTTTTTATTGTGTCACCTAGTGGTTGGTAACCCAAGAGGTTACTGTACCTGGCGGCGGTCACCGAGAGTGGCGTCACCTAGCCGAGGGGCATGTTACCTGATGAACGACACCCATCAGGCAAGAAAACACATGTTATTATCATTTTATAAAGTCGGCGATAATATAATACCTACCTATTTAAGCGAATTGAGCTGACAGCTGTAAGGTGAAATATGTATAAATACTTTAAAGGTTGAATTTGAGCGGTCAAAGACAAATAGAAACAACAATTATGTGTTAACACATTTATTATTTAATTTTTAACTAAAAACATAAATTTTATAATACAATTACAGTTTAAAAAAATTTATATCCATACAGAGGAACATCAGATTACATATCAGATTTCTTGAAACAATAAATTTCTAGAAATAATAGGTGTTATTAAACATATATAAAATGCGAATTAAGCAGATTTTATTATTAAATCACCGAGGTTAAGTAAAGTTCATTGCACCTCACCAACACTTGTTTCAACTTGTTTAAATTAAAATAAATATAATTTTTGAATATGTTTTTTAACATTACATTTATTTAATATACTTAATCTATATGAAATTAAACAATCTAAATATAAAAAATATAATGAACCTCTGACATACTAATTACAAAAGTTATTAAAATTACATTACACAATAAACCTATCAAACTTAATAATTATATACTTAAAATTATATTAACATTACTTAACACCTTATACTATAATGACCCCAAGGTAATGTATTAATTCCATTATCACAAATATATCGCTTGGAGTCATTTGGTGAAAGAACCAATTTATTTTGTAATACAGTATATTTACTGTATTACAATACTGCGGTTAAAACTTCTAAATAATGTTTGTTTTTTAAATAAAACCGATTTGGAATTTAAACAATCTAAATAATTTTGAAAAGAGATGTGATGTTTAACAACGGCCTTCTTAACGCCTTTGAATTTTTTGGTAATCCGCCCATCAGCGACCCTATTAGCATATACCTTCGACCTCAAACCAACAAATTCGACCATNTAGGCGACGGGGGTTGTAGGGGGGAATTTTTCGGTTTATTTTTCGATTTGAAGCATCGTTAACGAGATATTCACCATTTTATAACCCCCAAGCCAAACGCTTCGTGTCCGAATATATCATAGCCTCCATGTATCGACGATGATGTCATGGTGATAAGGCGGTAGCCTCATTCAAATTCCCAGCATAAAAGAGGATTCACGGAGAGTGCTATGTTCTGGTTGAACCACCCTGCCCTACCCGCCCGCACCCCGCACCCTAGCACCTAGCCGGTAAGCCAAACCAAACGCTTTGTGTTCAGATGTATCAAGGCCTCGATGTATCGATGATGACGTCATCGTGATAAGGCCCATCGATCTAGATAGTCTCATTCAAATTTTCCGCCAAAAAGAGGGTTCTTGGAGAATGCTGCGCTCTGATTGGTTGAACGTTCAAGGATAAGGTGCTGAATGGAGAAGGAAGAGAAATACTGCGATGGGTGAAAGAGAGCGGATGGGATATACTATATGAGAATAGGGAGTAGAGGGTATAAGGGGGATTCCCTTACTCCGGGGTGCGGGGGCGTTCGAAAGTAACCTACTGTACTAATAATTCTATTAGTCATCGTTATTGCAGCTGCACGTCGATTGTCACAGTGCATTGAACTTTACTTAACCTCAGTGATTTAATAAAACTGCTTAATTTGCATTTTATGTAACAATAATAATTTATGTAATTTGAATATTAGCAGGTTGATTGCCGATTACTCCGATCGGAGTGTTTCGGCATTAGTCGGCGACGTTCGGACAGTATGGTCTTCAGTCAACCTGTTAAAGTATGCGCATCATATATTGAAACGCAGATAACATTCATTCGCGGTTGTGATAACACCATAGTTCCATCTATTACTTCTAAAAACTTTTTATACGAATTGTTTGTTTTGGTATTCCCAAAAATTTATATAATCCAAAATGCTTACTTGTGAACATTGTCAAGTATCTTTTACGTTAAAACGTAATCTCGACCGACATGTACAAACTAAACATGGTCAACTCAAATTTAATTGCTCGATATGTGGGAAATATTTTTCGGGGCAAGATAACTTGGACACACATCAAAGAATACTCCATGTACCAGTTATAAAACCTAGACGTCAAGCGTCACCGCCACCATCAATTATTGAACATCAATCGAATTTAGAGATGGTGGTTGACACATCATCATCATCGCCATCTAGTAAACGTCGTCGAGATTCAACACCTCCACCGCTTCCAGCTACCAAGAACAGGGGTCGGGCATGCGAAGTTTGCGGTGAGTTTTTACCGACACTTATGTCGCTTGAAATCCACCTTCGAACGGAGCATGCTGAATTAATCGATAAAAACGTTGCAAAAATTAAGTCTTGCTATAAAAATAGGGTAGTTTGTTATAAAATTAGTGGAGCTCAATCTGAGGATGATATGCCGTCATATCTACTAAAATGTTGTGAAACAGTTAATAGACTGATTGAACAGCATCTCAATGAGAATGGTTCGATAAAGGCTCAGATTGAGATATTGGCAAATTTTATTAAGTCCGGGTTTGATGATGATGGTAATGAAGAAGTTATAACATCGGAGAAAAATGTTAATACCAAATTTAAAATTATCACTGCAACTACTGTGTTGAATGAGGTTTATGATGAGATGACTCGCGATATTTTAACTCAAAGCGAGGAGTTTCAGGAGCGTGGGTCTGGGTGGGCTTTCCACTCAATATCTTACCTCCTGTTAAACCTTAATAAATTTGAACCTATACCCGGGTCATCATTTATTCGATTACCTCATGAAATTATTATGAAAAAGGCATGCATCAACATTAAAAGCATTGAAGACGATGCATGTCTTGCGTGGTGTTTGACGGCGGCTCTTCTTATAAATTTACTCAGATGGTCCCCTTTGTCATATACGCCGACTTTGAATCGATTTTAAAACCGATCGATCATTGTGAGCCACATTCTTCCAAATCTTTCACGGAAAAAATTGAGATGCATCAACCGTATAGTTTCGCGTACAGTATCGTTTCCACTATTGATTCCAACTTCATTAAGTTTGAAACGTATACGGGTCCGGATGCACCTCAAGTTTTTATCTCTAAATTAATTGATGATGTCAAATTTATATATAATAAATACTTTAAAACCGTAAAACCAATGCTACCTTTAACGAGCGATGAGCAGCGGAATTTCGATTCAGCTAAAAATTGTTTTATTTGCCAAAATCCTTTCACTTCAGATGAGGTTAAGGTTCGCGATCATTGTCACATAAGCGGTAGGTACCGTGGGCCCGCTCATACAAATTGTAACTTAAATTTTCAACTTCAAAATTTTATTCCAATATTTTTTCATAATTTTAGTGGTTACGATTGCCATTTATTTATTAAAGAAATGGCTGATGCGGATGAAGATGGGCTTGATGTATTACCTAATAACAAAGAAAAATACATCAGTTTCAGTAAACGGATATTAGTCGATAAAGCGGAAGTGGAGGGGGGCCGCATTGAAAATACTTTTTTTAAACTAAGATTTGTAGATTCATTTAGGTTTATGGCCTCTTCATTAGATTCTCTAGCTGGTAACCTTTACGAAATTGATTTAATGAATATACGTAAATTCTTTCCACACAATGATCAGTTTAGATTACTGAGCAAGAAAGGAATATTCCCCTATGGTTATATGGATTCACTCGATAAATTAAACGTAACTTCATTGCCAACTAAAAACGCTTTTTTCAACAAACTATCATTTGAAGATATAACCGATGAGCAGTATTCCCATGCTCAAACTGTGTGGGAAAAATTAATTGCCAAAATTTAAAAGATTATTCGGATTTGTATCTAAAAACTGATGTCCTTTTACTTGCTGATGTATTTGAAAAATTCAGACAAGTTTGCTTCAAAACCTACGATTTAGATCCCGCTCATTATTATACTGCCCCAGGACTTTCTTGGGATGCAATGTTGAAATTCACCAAAATTAAATTAGAATTATTGACGGATATAAATCAAGTCCATTTTATTAAGAAAGGTATCCGTGGAGGCATTTCCCAATGCTCCCTACGGTCCGCTAATGCCAATAATAAATATATAGATGATTATAACCCCAATTTACCATCAAACTTTTTAATGTATTGGGACGCTAATAATTTGTATGGGTGGGCGATGTCCCAATTTATGCCCGTTTCCAATTTTAAATGGTTACCTGAAAATGACATACAATATTTGGATTTTAATAATATACCTGATAATTCTGATTATGGATATATTTTAGACGTAGATATTGAATACCCTGAAGCTTTACACGATTTACACAACGATCTCCCGTTTTTAGCTGAGAATTTAATTGCCCCCAATAATCGATGTGAAAGTGAAAGGAGATTAATTCCGAATTTATTTGATAAGAAAAATTATGTGATCCATTATAGAAATTTAAAACAAGCCGTTGCTCACGGTCTTAAAGTTCGCAAAATTAATAGAGTTTTATCGTTCAGACAGTCTGCGTGGTTGAAATCTTACATCGATAAAAATACGGAATTACGTCAATCCGCAAAGAATGCGTTTGAAAAAGATTTTTTTAAATTGATGAATAATTCCGTATTCGGCAAGACAATGGAAAACGTCGATAAGCGAGTCGATGTAAGATTAGTGACCAGTTGGGATGATGTGCATACTGGTAAAGCGGCAGGTAGACCCCGTTTAGGAGCTCGGAGTTTAATAGCAAAATTAGATTTTAAAAGTATTAAAGTATTCACGGAAACGTTTTCGGCAATTCAAATTGATCGTCTTCATGTCGTTTACGATAAACCTCTATACGTTGGTTTTATTGTTTTAGAACTTTCAAAATTATTAATGTATGATTTTTATTATGATTTCTTAAAACCTAAATATGGCGAGGACGCTTGGTTGTGCTATATGGACACTGATAGTTTCACTGTATTAATTAATTCTGTTGATATATATAGAGATGTGAAATTAAATATAAATAAATTTGACACATCTAACTACAGTCCCGATAATAGGTTTGACATCCCCTTGCACAATAAAGCAGTTTTAGGCAAAATGAAAGATGAGAATTGTGGAAACATAATGGTCGAATTTGTTGGTTTGAGGTCGAAGGTATACGCCAATAGGGTCGCTGATGGGCGGATTACCAAAAAATCCAAAGGCGTTAAGAAGGCCGTTGTTAAACATCACATCTCTTTTCAAAATTATTTAGATTGTTTAAATTCCAAATCGGTTTTATTTAAAAAACAAACATTATTTAGAAGTTTTAACCACAGTATATTTACTGTATTACAAAATAAATTGGTTCTTTCACGAAATGACTCCAAGCGATATATTTGTGATAATGGAATTAATACATTACCTTGGGGTCATTATAGTATAAGGTGTTAAGTAATGTTAATATAATTTTAAGTATATAATTATTAAGTTTGATAGGTTTATTGTGTAATGTAATTTTAATAACTTTTGTAATTAGTATGTCAGAGGTTCATTATATTTTTTATATTTAGATTGTTTAATTTCATATAGATTAAGTATATTAAATAAATGTAATGTTAAAAAACTTATTCAAAAATTATATTTATTAATTTAAACAAGTTGAAACAAGTGTTGGTGAGGTGCAATGAATTTTACTTAATCTCGGTGATTTAATAATAAAACTGCTTAATTCGCATTTTATGTATATTTAATAACACCTGTTATTTCTAGAAATTTGTTGTTTCAAGAAATCTGATATGTAATCCGATGTTCCTCTGTATGGATATAAATTTTTTTAAACTGTAATTGTATTATAAAATTTATGTTTTTACTTAAAAATTAAATAATAAATGTGTTAACACATAATTGTTGTTTCTATTTGTCTTTGACCGCTCAAATTCAACCTTTAAAGTATTTATACATATTTCACCTTACAGCTATCAGCTCAATTCGCTTAAATAAGTATGTATTATACTATCGCCGACTTTGTAAAATGATAATAAAATGTGTTTTCTTGCTTGATGGGTGTCGCTCATCAGGTAACATGCCCCCCGGCTAGGTGACGCCACTCTCGGTGACCGCCGCCAGGTACAGAAACCTCTTGGGTTACCAACCACTAGGTGGCACAATAAAAAAAGTCACCAGATAAATTTGCCAAATGAGCGATAGATGGTGCCTGATGGGTGTCGCTCATCAGGTAACGCCCCCCCACCCAACTGTACCCCGCTAGGTGATACCACTCTCGGTGACCGCCGGCACCAACCGCTAGGTGGTGCTTTAAGTTGCACCATGCGCAGGAGCAGCAGGATTCACTTCCGGTCCAGAACCCAACAACTCATCTGACAAGTCTTCTTGTTAAAGTAAAGTTGTTCGAATATATAAATTAAATGGCCCCAATTTTCACCAACAACTCACGCTTGTATGACGTAATCTTCCGGATTTCCCCGATAGATGGTGCTACACGAGTTATGCAACCAACAACTCATCCGACAAGACGCCCATGCTGCCTACTTTGGAGTGTGACGTCACGTGGTTGGACCTGCGCATGCGCTTGCTCCTGCGCCAGAACCGGCATTAATACACTACTGATCGGGAACTTGCAGAACCAATGTTTAACAGGGATACATTTTTAGCACATACACCGATTATTGTAATTGATTGTTCACAGCAAAATGATATTTTAAATGTTGGAACCGTTGATATTCGCATTTAATTTGAAACGAGTGAAGAGATACCTAACACTACTTCGCTCTACTGTTTAATCTTACATGATAGAGTTTTCAAATATGTTCCTTTAACTGGTATGATTAATCAAATATAGATCAGTTTGTAAACAACTCTATGTCAATAACATTATGTTTTAATAAAGTAGATGAACTGGATTTTTATGTAAACAAAATAAAGTTAGTCGTATTTAAGTTGGCTGAAATTTTATTAGAAATATTCCTAATTTCCTGAGCATGCGCATTCAAGCGACGCCGACGGGAGGCACGCCTTTAAACGCTCAGCAAATTTAAATTTTAAAAATGTAACAGTCCGTCAGGTAAATTTATTTTATTCATTAAATATATTATTTTTTTTTTATTAAATGTATTATTCTTATTCATCGTCTGCGAGCGAGTTTCCTCTTATCTAATCTTCGCACATATTCTACCGCATATTTCCTGCGATTCGTTAACGCGTCAACAACCGCCGCACTCGAAAGACCCGATTCAGTTCGTTTTTAACCGCTGCTAATTCGTCTAGTTCGTAAATCACGATATAAAAGAAAATGTTTAGTACAATTTCAAGTACAACGGTCTTCCTCTTCTTTCTTTTTATTACGACAACATTGTGCGATAGCGGAGAAGAAGAAGAAGGAGAAACAACCGTAGCAGTTACTGCATCACCTTCAGCTGAAACCTTAGAGATTACTACTACTACATACTACATTAGCATCATCTCCAGCTGATATTCGAAAAATAAATAATTTTCATTATCAACTACTCCGGTTGAAGACAGATCCTAAAGTAAGTTTTAAAGTTAAAAATCCTAAGAAAGGAGGAGGAACCTCCGCAAAACAAGATCAACCTACAACAACCACAGCGATGAAAGATGCATCTTCGATCATCAGAGGTTCAGTGTCTTTAATATGTTTAAATATATTAGGGTT